TTTTTTTAAAGAATTCCGAAATTTTGCTTTTAAAAATTTCAAAATTTATGAAATTTCGTAAAATTACGAATCAATTCGTTAATGGCGGACGCGATTGTGCAATATGCTAAAAAAACCTCCAAATGGGACAGGGGGAACTTCTGAAGCTTCCCTCTCCCTCTGTTGTTGACTGTTGGTGTGATAAAACAAACAACAACTATAAAACTTGCACCAGACATGCGAAAATAATTACGAAATAATTACGAAATAATTTCGAAATAATACGAAATAATAACGAAATAATAACAAAATAAATTGAAAAAATTGTTTCGAACCTAATTTACTCCTCACACTATTCCTGCATGGCTCAATATTGGATCGTAAGCTAATTTAAATATGAATTAATAACGAATTACGAAATTAACAAACGAAACCGCCCAAGCCTAGTATATATGTGACTACTAGAGATGTGCAAAATGCCAAAATCTACTTTGTTTGTTTTTACAAAATTTGGGCAACCCCCGTTTTGTTTCCCAAGTGTTTTGAAAAATTCCTAAAAGATCCGTATTGTATGCATATGAAGTTCCAAAAATTTTGTTAGTTTTTTGTTCTGTTATTTGTCCATTCACGTAAATGGAAACATTTCTGGGACTCCTTTCTTCCTCATTATTAGGGCTATATGGATGAAACATTTGTAGCACCCATTTACCACTATAACCTTTCTCCCCCCAAGTTTCAGAGTGTTTTACTCATCCACTGATTTTTGGGAAATTTTTCAAGTTTTAAACAGCATCATTAAAAAAAACTACAAGAGTTATCTCGTTGAATTTCTCTGCAATGACACAACATAAAGCACACATTGAATTATATTTTTAAAACCAATAGAAAGGAAAGCAAGGTATTTGATACTACCTCAAATCGCCCCACAATGTGGGGAAGGAATGGAACAGGTTGGTTTGGTTGATCAATGGTGACTAGACTAGAATTCTTCTTGTCACTTGACCCCAAAATGTACGTTTGTTTGTTGTTTGATTTAATATTGGCTTCAGCAACAGCAAGCAACCACAGCAGCACCCCCTAGCAACTTGGGATTTTAGAAAATAAAGAACTGTAGTTTGGATAATTGGATTATACTTTTGAAACCAATAGAAAAGAAAGCATGAAAACCAGACTAGAATTAAAATAAACTAGAAAATAAAGAAAGTTTGTGAAAAAAAATGCAAAGGGGGAAAAAATGAACCCCCCCAAATGAATCCTAAATGGACCCCCCCCCCCCAAATGCAAAGAAAAATTATTCTAAAAGGATTCTAAGCTCAGCTGTGATGACCTTAAAAGGAATCCTAAGCTGCTAGGTGAACTATGCTTGCCTGGCACATGCAAAAGCATTTGAGAATGGACAAATTCAGCTCCTAGCTGCTGCGCTACCCTTGAGCTCCCTCCCACCTTACTCGCGCAATGACCGCAGAGGCAACATGACTCCTGCATTTAAAGGAAACGCAAGAAGTGCCTCCTCCCTTCCCCTTCCCCTTAGCTCTGATAGGCTGAGGAGAGCATGTGACATACCATGTTTGGCTGTGCCACCCAGGAGAGTTCCCTTGAGCTGAAAAAGAAGCTGACTCACTGTGACTTACAAAAAGTGACAAATTTCCAAAAAAAAAAACAAACTCCATAAATGGCTGCTTTAATTTGTTTGTTTGGGGGGGGCACAACAAACAAACGGGTCATATAACGGGTCATGAGTGTGGATTTACCAAAACACCACTTATGACCCGTGTCCAAATCTTTGGACACGGGTGACTATATATAGAATATAGTGACTACATTCATGCAAAATGAATCCATAGTTATACTAATTGTGTCATATACATGAGCTCTATTCTTTAACAAATTAATTATTGCAAATTTTTAAAACAATCCACCATGTCATAGTTTCCTGAAATCATCTGTCTTGGATCACTTGTAATGCATTTAAGCATGTCACCTTGGAGAATGTAAGATTATCTCTTGCAAATGCATTTCTAGCATTGCTAACAATATCAATAAACATGTCTAATTTGTTTGCAATACTACTGATAAATATAGAGGTTTTGAGGGTTTATTGCTGTTGTTATTATTGTGGTTTTTCTATGTATGTAAGGCCTAAATCCAATTACTAGCTGGAGTATACCCTTTAGTATACCCTGGTGTGTAACATTGATCTAGTAGACTTACTCTGTCTCAGACAAACAAAAGTTTTTTATGCATTGGGTGTAATCTAAATATACAAAAGGTCTTACAGGTTAAAATCAGCATTTTTGTTGGATGAGATGTTTTTCTGTTGCCTGTCAAATGGACATGACACTCAGTTTTGATAGTGCCAGTAGCTGGAGGAGCAGAGTGAGTTAGACGTGAAAGGAATCTATATCTAGACTCTTCTTCCTGCCATTACCTTTCAACTTTCTTATATATTAGGATACCTTTATGCTGTAGAATTAACGCTGTTCGACACCACTTTACCTGCCTTGACTAAATTATTTTGAAGCACGGGAGTTGTAGTTTTACAAGGTCTTTAGCATTCTCTGTCAAAGACAACTGGTGCTTTGCCAAGCTACAAATCCCAGGATTCCATACCATTGAGGATAGCCGTTAAAATAGTGTTGAAATGCATTAATTCCACAGTGTAGATCAGGCCTGCAGAACTAGTCAGTAGTAAGGGGCCAAAATTAAATAAGCGAAGCCTCTTGGGGCTGCAAACAGGTTTTTAGCACTTAACTTTCCAAGTAAGGTAATAGGATTGTTGTTGTGTGCCTTCAAGTCATTTCAGACCTAGGGCAACATTAAGGCAACCCTACCACAGAGTTTTCTTGTCAAGATTTATTCAAAGGAGATTTGCCTTTGCCTTCCTCTGAAATTGTGAGGATATAACTTGCCTTCAGCCACCCAGTGGATCCAGAACCATAGTTCATTGTTCAAACCACTGCACCATGCTTTCTGAATTCCTTCCTTCCTTGTTTCTTTATTTCTTTCCCTCTCCTCCATCCCTCCCCGGGGGATGATGGTGAGTGGCGGGGGACAATGAGCCGCGAGAGGTGGGGGCAGCGGGTGGCAGTGGATGATGCTCTGTGGGCCACACTAACAGCTTGTGTGAGCCGCACATAGCTTAGTCTTATTTTCACTTAAATAAGTAAAAGATGGAGAAGCAAGTAACACAAAACCATTTATTGTTTTTGGCTACGTCCTTCAGAGGAAATCTATACAATTATGTTTACAAAGTTCAGATTGGGTGCATGCTGTAAAATTATTGCAAATATATTTATCATGGTCTTGTCCATAATTAGTAATGTGATCTTATGTGAAACAACAATTCTAGTTACTGGAAAATTGAAAGTTTATAATGGGCATCTTCTGTGCCTTGAATGGTTCAGTCTATTGAGATGGTCTGCACATTTGTGTTTGTTAGTACTCTTTGTTAAACTATAATGAATAGGCATTATCTGCATATCTGTTTGCAAAATGGACACTAGACTTCTGCCATAATAGTATTGGTGGCCCATACAATAGATTCATCAGATCAGCTGCTAGACTTTGTCATTCATATTTAAATTCTGCTAGTGAAGGAGCAACTCAGGAAATGACTAATGTTGATCCCAGATACCCATCACATTTGCATCGTTGAGCCGTTGGTTGACATGTTAGGTGGAAAATGGAAAGGACAAGGAACAGTGAATGGAAAGGGAGGAGCTTCAGATTTTGTGTCTTTGTGCTGGTTGTCATCCTCTCTTTTTGTTTTACCTTTATTGTGTTGCAGTACAATGCTATGAGCAGAAGACTTGCGTTCTTTTGAGAGCCTCTTCTTTTTTCTCCATTGTGGATGTGTGGTTGGGTGCTTTCTGATGCAGTGAGAAAACAATGTGGCAGCTAGTTCTCTTTTGTCTGGTCCATCATCTGTGTCTGTTGTTGACTAATAAATTCAGTCTCATTTCTTTGCTCCCTTCCCTCTTTGCTTTGCCCATCACTGCCTCATTTCTTTTTCAGTGTCTGACAAGGGAATCTCCATCTGGCTTCCCCCTCTTCCATTCAGCATGCTGCTGAGAGCAGATGACCAGCTGCAAACAGGAGAAAGGCAATAAGGAAAATGAACTGACCTCTGGCTTTAATATCCCATAAGAGTGGCGGGTTGGGCCAGAGACAGTCTCTTGCCACAGCATGGCATCCAAGTGTGACATGCCAGTAAAAAAGTGCTAATTTATCAAGCTGATTAAGTTAGGCATAAGCATGCCCTCTAACCTGATATATTGGTAACTGTGGGAATGAGTTGTGTGCACAAACATGGATATTACCCTTGCTAAGGTGACATTAATATATGTCTGAGCAATTTAGTTTCCTTCTGTGATTCATCTCGCAAGCCAGAAGAGCATTTTATAGCCCTTTTTAGAATTATTCTCAGGCAAGTAAGGGAGTCCCCTAAACAAAAGGTTAGGTGTTGTCATTTTTGTGTGGTCATACTCTTCAGATCCTTTAAGTCGTTTGACATTGTATGTCTTTTTATGGCTTACAAAATCAATTGTAGTGTTTGTTCTTGCTCTCATTGAGACTTATATTACTCAGGGCCTGTAACATATTACCCAACCAATAGCACCCGCTGGGATTCTAGTGCCGAGTTGTGGCTAGGTTCTTATACAAAAACACATGCACTTACTGCTTGAGTCATATATACCCGATCTTTGACTTCTTCTCCCTCTGTGGTTGGCTTTTTACTTATTATGCATTTTGAAAGGGTCAGATCATTCATCATCCTCAATTATAGAGATATAATTCACTGCATTCAGTGTGGGCTGAAATCCAGATGCCTGGAAAATTCCTACACTGGCCAGTAATTACCATCCCACAAAACATTCTGTTTTTAATACAACAGTAACGTGTTTGTTTCCTATTGAATTATTTGCAGGCAATACATGGCCAATCAAAGTTAAGTTGGACAGGTGGTTAGCAGAATAAGACACAATCAGGGAGACACAAAGCAATATAAACACATCAAGCATTGTTTATTTAGAAGCCTGCAGCATTTTAATGATGTTTTAAGAGTAAGAGCTTCATTTTATTAAAGGGCCAGCATAGTTCAGGTGCTGTATTGAAAAGGAAGCCAGACAAATTGGTTTCTGTGTATACAATGTTCCTATGATATCGAATCTATAGTATAGCTGGATCCAGTGCTCTCATGAGGTGTCATGCAATTTGAAATATAACATATGTGCTCTATTTTAAGACATGTACCCATGGATGAACTGAATGTACAAGTTCAGCATTCCATAGCGTTCCTATTGAATGAAAAACACAGTTCTAGGATTAAAAGTTCTCCTTTGCATGGTCCATTTACAGACTCATTTCTCACTCTGTGCACTGGATTTTATAATCCCAGATTTCCTCTTCCTTTCTCCTGCATAAAGTAGCCAAGCTTGATTGCCTCTGAGTTGACAAGTTCCATATGCTTTGACTGTAGAGAGATTTAAACCTTTTCCTCCTTGCTTCTTACATCCTGTCAGCCTGCAAAGAAAATAGGAAGGCTTTACATATGGCTTTTCTGGTGCGGGTCTATTCCCTAGTGTTCAACATTCATCTAAAATCTAAGTCTTAAAACATAAGCTTTTTTTGTTATAGTATATGACCTCAACTTCCTTTAGATGGGTCTTGCAACAGGTCAAACCCCATGAAAGGATGCAGTTGATATCTAGCCAATCTGTGACTGTTGGGCTTTCATCCTCCTCAGAGGATGAACCAGACCTTCCTGAGCTAGATGGCAGTGCAACTCTAGGTGACCCCAGGATCTCAGATGAAAGCAGAGCCCCAGTCCGAGAGGGGCAGACCGCTACTAAAGAGTCACAGATGGAGACAGATCCTGACCTAGTACTAGAGGTGACAAATAGGGACAGCATTGGTATATATTCAAAGGAGTGCCCACTTGCAAGAAAAATGTCTCAAGACAAACAGCCTTCTAGGAAACAAGGACCTTTGAGAAAGTCCAACTGAGCCAGGGAATGTGCTCTGAAAACTTAAACTGATGAGCTGTGCACAAGTAAGATCGATTGTGCACACACACACACACATATATATAAATTTTCTGTAACCCATTGGCTCCAGTTCCTTCAGATTTACGCTCTCCTTGGCTTTTGCCTCTCATTTTGGATAGTCTGGACTACATTGCACCCACCTGAGCTAACCCTTGAACTACTTTGTGACCTAGTTTGAATTGCCCTTCTCTGGAACACCTCCTTTCTGGTTAAGACTTTGAACCCATTGAAGCATGTCTAGTCAGGTTCTACCTGGAACAAGACAGTGCCACAAAGTATAGTTTATTAAAGCTCAAAAAAAGGTTTGGCTGTTGGAACATAAGTAATTGCTTACACAAGAGATTTTTGTTCTATCTAGTGCTATGTTGTCTACAAGAAGTAGCAGTAACATTTTGGTAAAATAAAAGGTTTCTTTTCTTCTTCTTTTTACAATTGTCTTGCAATGAGGAGACTGCAAGAAAATTGTGACTTTTTTTGTGCAAAGAAAAAAGAAAGTACAAGCTGTGTACATGGCAACTCCATATTATGTCTTATGACTCCTACTTAAAAATGCTAGGAACTGGACTGCACTTTTTTATAATCATTTTTATTATAATTTTTGAATGGGCAAATTTACATAAAATAGGTGTTGTTTAGATTTTTATGGTTATATACATTTTAAAAATTATTAATGGTAATGTTAAGTAATATTTGTCTCAAGGTTTCTATTCCCTGTTCTCGTATACACCCGGCTCTGCTTCCTTCTTCTATCTCCTGCCTCCACCTCTTTCCACTCACATATTAACTTTACATCCTTCCTAGGTGATGTAAAAAAACCCATTAAAAGTATACAATACACCTTGTCTCATAAATTTGCATTTTGGCAAGACTCAAGGTATGTGTCATAGTTCCAAATCAGACATGCCTTTTAAAAAAAGCAAACAATGAGAAATACATAAATACATATGCATTATGAGAAAATGTGCATGGATTTCCCACTGAAGAATGAAAAAATTGCCTCCTGCTACAAACAAGCATGGGATAGGAATGTGGACAGAATATGGAGAAACAAAATGAAATCAAGACAGAGTGTTTTTCATAGTTGTGCTTTTAATTGCAGTAAAGAGGAGAAAAGACTGTTTGGAGGGTTAAGTCCACCTCCTCATTCATATGCTATTAGCAGCATCATTGTTATATCTACAGAGACATTGACCAAGAAGAGAAAATTCCAATGAAACATCCAGAGACACACACTACTCTTTGAATTTGATTTGGCTCCTCTTGAACCACAGAGGAACTTAAATACATTCAGTAGCTGCTGATTTTTTTTCTTCAAAGTATCCGTTGTCTCAAGGAGGCTGGAAGTCTACAGGGCAGAAAAAAAAAATAGTCATGATGGAAGACTTTTGATCTTCCAGAGATACAAATAAATATATTAGCATATATAAAATGGCTGCAGTCCAAAATCGTTTGTTTCTTTCCACAGCAAACCTGATTACAGACAGGCTCCTTGGTAGTTTCATAAAGCACAAAAAATATCTCAAATCCATGTTACTCTCTTCTTATTAATCAAGGCTGTTCCTAGCATTCCAATGACTCCATTTTAAAACGTAACCTGCAAGGGAAGAAAAATAATGCCCTGTTGTTTTCACTTAATAAAATGGGTTTTTTAAAGCTAAACTTTGGGCTCTTTTGTATGCCTAGCCACATTTTGTGACTGGAAAGGATTCATAAATAGGCAAATTGAAGAAGGTACACAAGAGATATGTTGATTATCCGAAAAAACAACAAACTTTATATTTACAGGTAAAAGAAGATGTACATAGAAAAAGAGGCTAATATGCAGTGGCTTCCCCTCTATTCTACCAATAAATAACCCTTTCTAGTTGACACTAGGAATCCACCAGTCTCTAACACTGCTTTTGCTTTCTAAAGGACTGCTTGGATATAACAAGCTATAGGATGAACTGTGTGAAGGTAGTACTGCTCTCATCTACATGGCTACATGTTGAAATCGAGTTAAATTTTGGTTTTTTATTCAAGCCTTTGGAGGTGGTTTTATGATGAGAAGGAAGTATTTGAAAGATAAAAAAAATTAAGGATTTTTAAACATTCATGTATTTTCAGCTAGTGGAAATAACTATAAACATTAGCATATAGGTTTTCCCATATAAGGTCCTTTATAATCCTTTACACCTTTTGTTACATACCAGTTGTCTTCCTATAAAAAGATTATGGATTACATGGCTGCTTTTAAGTGTGCGTGTGTGTGCATGCATGCATGCATGTGTTACATGTAAAATTGTAGGAGCCAAAACTCAATACCTTCTTTTGTTGCCTTTCTAAATCATTCATTCCTAAAGGGCCATTCACACATGCCAACAGCTTGCAACCTTGGAAAACCAGTAGTGTTCATACAGTTTACAAAAGTTACTTTTTGGATTACAACTCTTATAATCTCTCAACTGGCTTGATGATGAGAGCCAGCATGATGCAGTAGCTTGAGTATCAGTCTGTGGTCTAACCTACATAGACTATTTATTACAGTTTTGAAGAAAGTAGTTTTGTTATGCAGATGATGATTATACAAAGCACAGAACACCGATATTCATTAAGAGCATTTTTTCATGCACTTTTGTGGACGTTTGTTGTCTAGCCATCACAGTTTCATGCTAGCTGGTCAGTGTAGATGGGGCTTTCAACTCTGGATACCAAAGTTTGAATCCCCACTCAGCCATGTAAAATCCTCTGGGTGACCTTGTGTAAGTCACTCTCTTCAGCCCATTGGGGGAAGCAATGACAAACTTCTGAACAAATCTTTCCCAGAAAAGTCTGTGATGTGTTGATACATAAGAAATGATGTGACGTAACTACAACAATAGTAGCATGATGATCATTGCATAAGGGAGTAAAGAAGAGGCTCTCTGTTCTTACAAAAAAAAAGATGTACACATTATGTCCTTTGTATTAAGATCTCTTTAGAAATGAGAAGGAAGTCTTTTCTTAACATTCTGTTTATAATTCTTCTTCAGAAGGCTCCTCCTTCAGTAGAAAATAATTTAGGATGAATTTAGTTGTAGAAACCCAGCATACTTGGGACTTATATCAAGGATGGTGTGAGGTCACAGGTTGTATATCCTTGATGTGGAGAAGAGGTTGAAATCATGTAGCCCTCCAAATGTTATTATACTAAGAGTTGTAGTCCAATAACAAATTAAGGGCCACCTGATTCTCACCTCTGAACTGTGAATAAAGAGCTGTTCTCTAATTACCTTTTGTAAGTAAGTTGTTCTTTGACCGTTTGGAATGCATATCTATTAGGGCGGTGTAATCAATAAAAAAAGTTTCAAAACTCATTACAAAATTAGGAGGCACCAGCATTTAATTTCCAAAGTGTTTCTAAATTATCATTAGTGAAAATTTCATTACTACAATGAGAGTAATGAAATTTTGTTACTTTTTCGTTATAGTAATTGCACAAATGAGGAAACTTCAGGGGCTCCTTTCTCCCTCAATTGTACAGCTATTGGGGTAAAACTGGCTATAATGATATAATAAATGTACCACTGTTAGCCCATCAAGCTTCATAATGTTTCATGGATTTTGGGGAAATATTCAAAGTTTTTATAAACAACATTTTAAAAAACCTACAAGATCTATCTCCTTGAATTATCTATACAATGACACAAGTTAACAGGTGATCATTCTGCCCAACTTTCAGAAATATTCATACACCTACTAATTTTAGGATTTTAAAAAACGTTTTGAGAAACCTTTTTTTTAAAGCCACAACAGCTATCTCATTGAATGTCTCTCACATTAACCAACAGAACTTCCATTTAGGAGCAATTTCAACAGAAAGGAAGAAACCATGAAAATGAACAAAATCTGGCTACCAGTATTAAAAAAAACTCAAAAATTACAACAGCAAAACAACAGAGAGTAAACAATCAGGCACATCAAATCACTCCCAACAAAAGATTCCCCCCCAAGCACTTCCAAGCCATTAAATGCTAATCAAGGTGGTCAGTTGAAACATTCACACCTAGCTCCAACAGACAAAAGTCCTTTGTCCCACCCTGGTCATTCCACAAATATATAAACCCCTTTTTCCTACTTCCAACAGACCTCACTACCTCTGAGGATGCTTGCCATAGATGCAGGCGAAACATCAGGAGAAAATGCCTCTAGAACATGGCCATATAGCCCAGAAAAACCTACAACAACCCAGTGATTCCGGCCATGAAAGCCTTCAACAATACATTCTTCCATTTCGGAATTTCTTCCCAGTCCAGCACTGATATTTTCTTACTAGAAATGTCAGTCCTCCTCTTTGCATATTCAACAGTTTATTGAAACTTTGTCTGGCTGCTGCTACAGAGGGACTAATCTCTCCCCTATCCTGATTGGAACATTCTGATGATGAGCAGAATTCTGGGAAATTTCATTTAGGGCAAGGCCTTTTGAATTCTCTGACACTGGGTTCCTTGCCTTCCC